AAAACTCAAGGTGTGCAGATCGATACAACAAATTTAAAGGAATTGCTACTGTCCAAATGAATAGTTTCACATGATTTTACTTTTTATTGTGGCTTATTTACTTGCATTGTAATTGGGAAATCTTTTAAAGCAGCTTAATTGCAAAGTTAAGCCCAGAAAAGCTGCCTTGACATCCCTAATTCAGCCCCTTGTGACTACACACGACAATGTAAAAAACAAAAAGAGAGAACTGCAGAAATTACCACAGCTGCATTTCAAGCTGAAGCTTTGATTTCAGTAGATGTAACATTAGTGACAACAAAGCAAAGCAAAAATCCTTTTCTCAGCCTAACTGCAAACACACCTTCTGTGCCCACAAACATCTGATCTGCTTTGTCAGAGCTGCTTCAATTAGCCCTGGAACTTCAGGAGCATCCCTGCTGGCCTGCCCAGGGCTGAGGCACAGCACAGCCTCAGAGCTGGCTGCCCAGGGTCACTCTGCTCTGGTGCTCAGCCCGTGGGTGAGAGGCCTTTGCCTTGCCTTCTATTGCATGCAAGATGAGCATCACTCATTTTTAACATTATTGCACACACTCCTGTGCTCTGATCTCTGTGCTGTAACAAGCTTTAGTGACTGAGGATGAGGAAATGTAGATGATTAACTGGGTTTTGTCTTATTTCAGACACTACCTGTACAGATACTTTAATTTCTCTTCTTATTTGATTCCATGGATTTCAGGCACCTTCTTAACAGCCTTTTAGCAAAGATTTTTGTAGTTTTTGAATGGGCGCCTTGGAGAACAATTATTTTCCCTCATGAATAAAAGTTACAGTTTAATGATAGTGAGCATTTCTAGGGAAATATCCACAGTATTGCAGCTGGTGCACCGTTAACACCACAAAATAATAGAAAACTAATATTAATCCATATCTCAACTTTAAAAGGACTTTCAATTGTGCAGTCCATGATATTCTACAGAAACACTACCTCATTTATCTTCATACTCCATGAAGTGGCAAGAAATTAAGCAGAGGACTGTGAAACAATTGGATACCTATCACGAAGTGAATGTGGGCAAATACCAGGTGATTCTGTGCCCTGTACATTCTTACCTAAATACAATCAATGATGTTATTTTTGCTCATATACCTTAAAAGCATAGAGACACCAGCTCTGTGAAAGAAGGGCTCACATTAAAGGAATCTGCTCCCTTCTCACCATTCCCACCACTCACCTCAATTTGTTCCTCATTGAAACCCATGTCCTGCTCCCCTTGTGGTACCTCCAAACCACTCAGAGATCTGCCTAACTGCACCTCCCCAGGCTCCATCCTCCTCTCTCAGACCATAAGAACTTCTGGCCAAGTCTCTCACAGAAACCTGATAAAATACTTGCATGTCTCTCTTCTCAGTTCCTCTATTCCTTTTCTTAATGGCTACTCATGGATATTCCTGACCTTTCAAAGAATCTGTGGTTTTGTTCTTCTTACCACCAATACAATCAGCTGGCTCTAATGTCTGTCTGATCAGAACCTAGGGCTGCTGCCTGCAGAGGCCAACAGCAAAGCCTACAGGATTTCCCACCGAGTTCAGAGACACTGGTTAGGAGGTCAGGTGCTTTCACATGAACAAGAAAAACACTCAGCCTCAGTTTTGAAAAAAAAAAGTAAATAAAAATGCACCAGGAAATATCTGGATGAAAAACATTCCCAAAAGCAATAGTACTAAGTGGAAAATATTATCCAGATATGGCCTTCCTGAGGCATCCTTCTCTTTCTGGGCAAATTCCATGGAAGTCTAAGCTCAGCAAGGTCACTGAAATGATTTGCCTGGCTCCTGTAAGAGGGTCAGTGAAGCAGTAATTGAGATATGTGCCTGCAACACCACACCTGGATGATTCAGAGACCTGCAATGCACGAATCCCCACAAAGATCCATCCTTAAGCATAACCTCTAAATTGTAATTTTATACCAGCCTCTTTTCCACCTGTTTTCTCTTTGCACTGAAATTCCTCCCCCTCAACTGTGAGCAGTGAATCTTCCTTTAGAACACAGCAATATTTATTGACTGTATTCTTTGTTCACATCTGTCAGACATGGGAAGTCACCACTGCTTTACAAGACTATCAGTTTTAAGTAATGCCATTCATCACAAAATGGAATAGTGTGAGCAACATTTCCTCAACTGCAATGAATTATACAAGGGTCAGCAAGCTGGAGTCGCGGTTGGCAACACAAACATTGGCCTCAGGTAGCAAACCCATCTTTGCAGCTGTTCTCATCCATATGGGTTCAATGAACTGCAGAGAGTACAGGCCTTTGCTTATTGAGAGTATCTGCTGGAACTATTTCATCTAACCAGCATCATAAAACAACTCTGAAGTAAGGTGAATGCTATTCATCTAAAGCTTGTCTGGTAGCCAACTGCTGACAGAGGGGGAAATAGAGATGGCAAAGCAGCAGAAATGGTCGGGAGATGCTGGAGTTCCTGGATTTCAAAATGCAGAGATTAAAAACCACAAGAAAGGGAAACAATGCACCTGTGGTTCACAGGCATCTGGTCACCCCAACAGTGCTCAGCTTCCTGACAAACAATTTCCAAGACCCCTCAGTGCATTTCCTCACCAGCATAATGCCCTTTTAATGGACATGCTGTCAAGCAGATTTGTTTGGCAGCCACACAATCAGCCCTATTTTTGCTCTAAAACAGAAGATTTTGTTTATACACATGGTTTTGCAAGTAAGATTATTCTGTGATTAAATACAGACATTTTACCAGAAGCCTCATCACTAACTCAATTTAAGCCAGTATTTACCAAATGTTTTCATCTTCAGGATTAAATTTAAGCACGTGTTTGCCAGTCATTGAACAGATGAACTGGATAAACCCAATTCAAGTTCCTTTAGTGACATAGGACTCAAGTAACATAGGCTTTAGCAGCTTTACATTACTTTTGATGCCTTGCCTTTTCAGAGCTACATAAACTGGAACCTCGAGGCATCTGTGGCATTGGGGAGTGAGTGGAGTCATGGAGTGTGTTCAGCACTGGGGGAGGAGCCCAAAAGCTCCAGAGGGGCTGCTCTGCTCAGCCTGGAAGCCAGAGAGTTGTGTCACAGATGAGCTGCTTTGAGCTGCTTTGCTGTGGGGAAACTTTTTGCATTCCAGGACACAGGATCACCTCCCACCTGTGCCACAATCCTGATGGTGATCAAACTGGCAGCACTGAAAAGTATCTCTTCTATAACTCCTATGCAGCTACTTAGTTACAATTTTTAAATCTATTATTTTTTTTTATTTTAAAGAAAGGGTCACCTTAAACTTGATGAACTTTCACAGCTTGAACAAGCAGGGGGACCATGTGGAGAGCAATGTCTCTGGGGATGTACTTTTCAGTGAGTAAGTTCACTTGAGGCAGGAGTCTCAGGTAGATCTGATTGCATTTACAAACACAAAATCTGTCAACAGTAAAGACACCTTCACTGTTTAATCTTCCACTAGAGGGGAAAAAAAAGAAAATCAAAATACTTTTTTCTTTCCCAGAATAGCTATCTGGCAGAAAACTTGAAAATGTGAATCCCCTTTCTTGATACGAAGTCACTTTGTTGATGAACAGTGCTCCTAGCAAAAACTGGGAATGATACCAGACAAAGGATGCCTGGCATCATTATCTGCATTATATATCAATAGTTGTGCTTCCTTGCTTATGAAGTGTATAACCTTGTGTGTCCTTAAAGTGTAAAAACAAAACACCCACCACCCTAAGGACACCTGGGACTGCACGTCTAAGAAGCCAAGAGAAAGAAAAAGATTTTATTAAAATATTATGAATTATTGTTAACATATATTTACATAATTTAATTCATCTCAGGAAACGTCTAAAAGAATGAAATTTTATACACCTATGGTCATGAAGGCATCCTTTGATGTCATCATTTTCCTCTACAACTCATCAGTACCTACATAAACCTCTGTCAGAACATGACAGTGGTCCCAGCTCCAGCCCCTTTGCTTCAGCCATGTGCTGAAGAAAGGCCTTGCAGCTTCCCAGGTCACAGGACACAGAACAGAAGGTGGGTGCTTGGGGTGAAGGGCTGAAGAGAAGCATACACAGCTTTTCCTATGCCATGAAATCCACACCAAACATGAGAGTCTAGAAAATGGCCCTGGAAAGACTGCAGACTCCTCAGCCTACATCTGATGGACTCCTGCTGCTCAGGCCCTTGGGGCTGAACTGGGGGCATGAAGAGAATTGAAGAGTCCAGGATTGTGGCCACTGAACAACCCCAGTGGTCACAAAGCTTTGCAGAGAGCAATCCCCAAATGACTGATTCCACACCCACAAATTAATAATCCTCCTCTAAACCTGACCACAGAGAAAATACACTTGATTAACATAATTCCCTAATATCAGACCAGACATGATTAAGACAATTAATTTTAGTGTTGCTATATGTTAATACATCCCAAGGTCCCTTCTTCTCTGCCTGTTTACTCTGTCCTCCTCTCTTTTGCTAGAGGTTCTCATGATAAAGCACTTTTCACTCTAACAAGGTCTCTCTTCAGAATAACATCTGTAAATTATTTAAATACTCATCTGGTAAACAACACAGTATTTTTAGCAATAAAGTAAAAATCATGTTGCTTTCTGAACCAATCCCAAGGGAAATGTTTGGATTATACAAACTGGTTTATTTCTTAGTTGATAGAAGGTGTGCTCAAGGAACTCTGAGCATCAGGACATTATGATTAAAACCAAACTGTTAAATTTCTAATTTTGTGAGAAAAGAAATGCCTACAAAAGCCCCCTGCAGTAACTGTTACACACACACAAAGCTGATGAGAAACACAGAATGCTCTTGCCAAAAATAAGGACCATACTTTCAGCATGTGCAGAATATTCCTTTACATTCTGCAGAATAAGAGAGAAAAAAGCCTAACCCCTTACAAAAGTGACCAAGAACTATTCCCATTTTTACTAGTGTTACCAAGGCAAAAACTGCCACTGCTGAGCTGCCACGCACCTCACCCACCTCTGGAGCAGGATGCACCTCTGGAGGTTCCTGGGACGCCACAGGATAGCAGCCTGTCGCCGTGATATTTTCTGAAAAATCCCTTTGCCAGGATTTTTTCTCCTGAGAAGCTGAGAAGCCTCAGAGGAAAAGAAAAACAGTAATTGTCTGCTGCTGTGGAATGCAACAGGTGCATCTTTGATTGGTCCATGGTGGTTGTTTCTAATTAATGGCCAATCACAGTCAGCTGGCTTGGACTCTGTGAGAGTCACGAGCTTTTGTTATCATTCCATTCCTTTGCTTTCCTTTCCTTTCCAGCCTTCTGATGGATCCTTTCTCTCTATTCTTTTTAGTCTAGTTTTAATATAGCATTTTAATATAATATAATAAATCAGCCTTCAGGAACATGGAGTCAAGATTCTCATCTCTTCCCTCATCCTGGGACCCTTGAACACACCCATAGCAGCCTAGGGTGAAGGTCCGTCCCCCCACAAACAGATGTAAGCTGTCATTACTACAAGGAAAAGGGGAAGACACAAAATAATCTGCCCGTGCATAAATCCTTGCCAGGACTTGCTCATGAATGATTAACATCCCGTGTTGCAGCAGTGACCCTGCTGCAGTCCTGTGATCCCTGAGCTGGAGGATGTGGATCTCCAAGGGAGCCCTCGAGTCAGTATCAAAGCTGAGCAGCACCAGGGCTGCCCTGCTCTGCTCCTGTGGATCCAGCCCTGTCTGCCAATTCCCCACATCCTCCACATGCAATTCCCATTCCCTGACCTCCTGTCTCACTGAAGCCTGCAGGAAACTTTTGAGTGAAGAAGAGAAGTTTTATATTTTCCCCCCAAAAGTATCTTCTGACTGGACACAGAAAATTTCAGAGGCTGCAGAAATTAGACATGGGAGGGCAGGTACACATGAAGAGACTAAAGGGCCATTTACCAGTTTACTACAGCCATAAAAACCCCACAAAGACACTATTTCTGCATGAAAAGAAACCAGTTCCTGCTCTCTGAGTCAGTAGGCTCAGTGTAGGCATAAGTTCACTGCTGGTGTAGTTGATTTAAGACCCTTTGCTGTGATGGCAGTGTTGGTAAAAGCTTTAACCATAGTTTTTACGATGCTATTAAGTTTTAGTCATTTGTGGGTTTTGCAGTATATGAATACTATAGATGCCACCTTAATTAAAAGGTCTTGTCATCTTGTGCAATTAAAAAGAGAAAATGTACTCTCCTATGAATAGCCAGGAACAAATTGAGCAAGCTGCATTATACACGCTAAGTACACGGCAATTTTGTGCCCCTTCCTGTAACACATCTATTCTCCAGCATTCAGTACTCTTTAATAATCCTGTTACAATGGTTTATGTTTAATTGACTTCTGAAGCACCAGTGCCATGGCATCTCTGACCATTAATGACAACCAAGTTAAACAAAGTTCTACTTTGCAAATGCATACAAACTTTCCATACACAGCACAGAACTGCTGCGTCTCAGGATTTTTGTGTACAAACACTCAATAAAAGAGGAATTCTTCTTTTCAGAAGACAATATATAATGGATAATCAGATAGCCTCTTCCCAAAGGGCACATAATAAAACAAATATCACTTTAAATAGTTTTAATACCCATGCAACTATTTAGTTGGACAGCATATGCACATAAAGTAAATCACACACATGGCATTCACAGCCTAAACATGAAAGTGCACTTCCACAGCTACCTGCAAGGGATCCCAGCAGATGGTTACCAGCATGCATCCACTCCTGTCAGCTGCAAATGCATTCACCTTCATCAGTCTGGCTCATTATTTCAATTTGGACTCCAACTCAAGGTCTTGCAAGATAATGAAGCAGCAAGTGATTGGCTGCCTTGAGTTTTGTGCCCAGAGCAATCTTCCTTCAGGATCCACCAGTAGCTTTTGACCATGAAAAAAGGATATCCTACATCCATCTGCAGCCTATGCCCTGAATGCCCCAGGGCATTATATTGACAGGGCAGCAAGAAATCCAGGCACATCTCCCTGGGCCAGTTAGACAGAAGCATTCTCAGGATTTGCTCTAACTACAGAGTCAATAATACTTATGGTGATTTTTGACAGACATTCCTATAGGTCCATGCATCACAGCTCTTGTGTCTGGATCATAAAGAAACTGAACATTCAGAAGTCACATACAATTCACATGTTCATTACCGTTTGCAAAATACACCAATTCCACTGATGTCAAATGTAGCAGAACCTCCTGTCCTTGGGCCTATTTTTAAAATTATGTCACTCCACTGGAAAACTTGTCCTTAAAAGGTGCTAGGTAAGTTAGGCTCAAAAGGATGTTATCTCCAAAGTCTTTGCTTTTCATCTGAATGATGTCAGATGGTAAAGTTTACACAAGTATGGAAACCATTTCTTCCCTTCTGTCTTGCAAATAAAGTAGGGTCTTCTGTTTTGGAGAGCTAACACCTACCACCATCCAAACCAGTAACACAGTGGTCTTCAGATTGGTACAAGACAGCCATAACTTGGGGGCTGAGAGCTTACCCACAGCTGAACAGCCCATGCCCTCACCTCTCCACCAGGGAGACAATTCTCCTCCCCAGCACGCTCCCCCTCGGTGCTCTGACTCGCACAGGAGTTCCCCACACAGCTGCTCTAGCTTCTGGGAAGATCTTCACAATCTGCATAGAGGATCCTGGCTTGCTGCCTTGTCTCTGAAGTGCCCAGTGCTCCCCTACAGAAGGAAACTCCAAAGCTGCTCCTTGAAAGGAGCTTTTCCTCTTACATCCATGCCAACAGCCACCTCTGGGGCTTTGAGGCCCGCAGGCACCTGTTTTCTGGCTGCTCTGAGCCTGCAGCTTCTCCTTTGAAGTGCAGCAGCCTTTGGGGAGCATCCTGGGGCACTTCTGAGCTGCACAGGCAAGCAACAACTGCTGCAGCTTAGACAAGCATATGCTCCAGAGGAAGAGGCACATTCTAGATGAGGGATGAGCAAAGTTTTGATCACAGATGAAATAAAGGAGAAAGGTTTTCAAAGGAACTGGAGAAATACTAAGGATACAGGAGGCTTCAAGGCAAGAGACTGCAATCATCTTGGCTGTGATGGTGCAAACTAAGTATAAACTAATCAAGAATCCAACTGACAAGCTACTGAGAATCAGAATAAATACCCTTAGGCATGGCTCCAAGACCCACGGTCCCACATGGACAGGAGCCCAGCAGCAGCCATGCAATGCCAGAAACATCCCAGCTATTGAGCAAGGGTGATGGAGCCACATCACAGCACACACTGTCCTGGCAGCACCTCTGGACAGGAGGCTGATGGCATCACTGGTCTGCAGAGTGTAAAACAATAACCTAAGGTTACTTGTAGGTTGAAATGACAGATAAATGTGTATTACTATGCAAACCCTTATCAATTCCTGACAGTCTTCCCCTCCCTCTGAGCAGATACAGCTGTAATAGATGAGTAGCACCCAATCACTGCTCAAGGACTGTTTGGAACACAGCCACCAAGAACTGCATCTTTGAACTGTGGGCATGAGACTCAGGGATATTGTCATATCCCTTGGAAGCTGGCACTGTTGAAGTCAATGACAGCAAGATAGACAAAAAACACCCCCAAACCTGCAAGTTGCAATAAACAGAATCGAGAAGAAATACACAACAGTCCTCAGTAAGAGAGCTTGCCCCTCCTTCAGCACTGATGCAGCAAGCAGGTCTCATTCAGGGGCTGGAGCAGCTGCAGAGCTCTTCCAGCTGTTTGAATGCCCACTGGCAACAGGTACAACACAGACAGGCCGTCCTTAAACCTCCAGTCACCCGAGAACAGGACCAAGGCAGAAAGTTTGAATACAGATTAACAGGCTCATAAGTGTGCTGCACACGGGGGAGGCTGAACCAGCTGCTGCAAGTGGCTTAGTAGGGCTCCTGTCCATTAAAGAATAATTCACAGGAAGTTGCTTCAGAGCAGATCAAAGCACAAAAAAAGAGAGAAAATTATAATTTTGAAAAAAGATATGCACAAAACCCACATTTGGGCAACTGTGCATTGGTAAACTATTTCCTCTCCACCCCCCAATTGAGCTGCAGCATCTTTCTAGTCGGAACAGCACAAATACCAGTTAGATACTAACTATGCCACCTTCTGCACAAGTCTGGGTAAATATACATGGGATACAAATAGAAACATATCTTAATTATAAAAAAAGAAAACCAAACCAGCAACAACCCACAGAAATGCAGACTATTCCTGGATTTTACTGACCATCATCACTAATTTGTGCCACTCACTACTGGTTTAAAGCATGAAATATTCTAGAACAACCTTTAAGTTACAATGTGGGAAGAAAGACTGCTGCATCACTTCCTATTTTACTGCTCATTAAGGATTCTAGACCACTTTTGTCCCATCACTTTACCTGAGTCAACTCTATCCAGCATTCAACCCTTTCTTTTGAATTAGTGTGTGATCTGTAATCCTTTGTGGATCCAGCCATGCAAGCCAAAATTAAAGGGGGAAAAAAAGGGGAAAAAAAAAAGAAAAGAAACCAACAGAAGAAAAAGTAAGCAGGAAACTACTTGGCTTGAAACTTAGAGAGTGATGCCCAAGCTGCACAGGCTGCTCTCATTACTGAGCTCTGTTACTCTGCACAGGAGCAGGTTCAGTGCCTTCCTTTCTGGAGTATGCTGCCTGCTTGTGAACTTGAGATGCTGAGAGACTTTATGAACAGAGCTGTTGTTTTATTTACTCTCAATTAATCACGCTCAACTGTAAACAAAGTGTCTGTTTTAGTTCTGTTGACAATTATCCACTTGTCAACATCTCCCTCAAGTACCTTCAGCATCTGGCAACAGCACAGAACTGCTACATCAAAATGAACATTTTGTCTCAATAAAAAGATAGACGTGTGGCAGGGTTTCATCTGTTTTCTAGCCCATCAACAGTCAGGCTCTATTGTCACCAATGCAATCAGACAGTGGTCTGTTCCTATGGAATATTTATTTACAAAGGGAGAGGGAAGCCAAATTTTGTTTATATTAGTAAGGCAGACTCACAGAAGAAACAAGAACCCCCCCACTTCCCCACAAAGGCAGAAGGCAGCCCTCCCTGCAGC